CCAACCCTAACTAAGCCTAACCAACCTCAACCAACCCTAATTAAGCCTAACTAAGCCTAACCAACCCTAACCAACCCCAACCAACCCTAACCAACCTCAACCAACCATAACCAACCCTAACTAAGCCCAACCAACCCTAACCAACCCTAACTAAGCCTAACCAACCCTAACTAAGCCCAACCAACCCTAACTAAGCCTCACTAACCGCAACACAAACCACAGGTTAACAGAACAGAACAGAGTCGCAGCTCTGACCAGTCAGTCTGAGTCAGATGTCAGCTGACGGAGCCTCTGAAGCTCTGAAGCTCTGAAGCTCTGAAGAGCCTTTTCAGCATCTCTGCTCTGCTCCACAGTCTGACAATGACGAGCTCACACACCAGCAGCTCGTCAAACCGATCACTGAGGTCCTCTTTGGTTCGTGTGGTTCGAGTGTCTCGGTCAGATCGGGACATTCAGGAGTCACAACTTGTGGATCGACCCTGTACGTTACTTCTCTCTAAAAGATTTTTAGAATTACTTAATGAAAGAAAAAAGGGAAGAAGAAGAAGGGAGATGGATCTGGAGGAGGATGGAGACGATTGTGTTATTCTGGACAGAATCTGGTTGGAGCAGCACCATGGATCACAGTTCAGCTGCTTGAACGTTCTCAGGACGTTCCAGCAGAACTCTGAGTTCAGTCTGGAGGATGGTAAAGGAACCAGCAGCAGCTCCTGACCTCCTCCGGTTCTTCCCCTGTTAAACTGCTGTCTGGTCTCCACTACATCTTCTCCACCAAGGAGAACCAGGTGCTAGCTCCAGTGCTTAGTTGGTTCCAATCTAAAAACCGGTTGCTTCTCCATCAGCCAGGAGCCCAGTCAGAGCCGTATGTCACTGCACACGGAGCCGTTTACCGAACAGCGCTGGCGCCACACAGAAGTCCACACAGGACTCCAGACTGACTTGTTACCGGTGTGACCCACTTTCTCATCTGGTCTCACCTCCCACCTGGTCACAGGAGAAACATCTGACCTGCTGAACATGTTCTTATCCATAGACGGTACAGTTTACGATGTTCCCTGAACGCCCCACATAGCAGGCTGCGCTAGCTGCTGCTGGTGGCCGCAGTTCTCAGAGTGGTGTGCAACCAGAGATGACTTTAACAGAGTGAACCAGGAGGTTCTGGTGTCAGATCTGTCCAGGATGAAACCCAGTGATCTGTTTTCACGAGGTCTTTTCTATGAGCAGAATAAACAGCGTGTAGCTGAGGTCCGTTTTCACCAGAACACCTCATTTCTAAGCTAAATACTGAAGTTCTAACAGTCCTGTTCTTCACCACTGTGGTGCTGCTGATGGGACACAATTGGACCGGGTTTCAACAGTTTGTGCAGAACTTCCGTGTATCCCTGGACTCATTCAGTACATCTGTGATCGGACTAGAGACGTCCTGGTGAAAAACGACACAAATCACCTTGTGTGTTCCACCCATCGGTCCGGTGGTCCCGATAGCCCCGCCCCCAGAACCTGACGTACTGGTGCTTAGCTCTGGACCAGCAGAGAGTTGGTGCCTGAAAAGCACCTGTTCTGAGAACCTGGAGTCCGTGCTTAGGTGGTGGAAACACAAAGGACTGGTTCTGAGACAGGCTATGGTTCTGAACCAGACCTGGAACCAGTTTGGTGGAAAAGGGGTATAGGTGGTAACCATGGTAACCACAGACCCTCCTCTGGTCTCCATGATGATCCTCCACATCATCACTGATGGTCCAGAACCATGTGGACTCTGCTGACTGGTACTGCTGCACAGGTAGAACTCAGACACCAGCTTCAGCTCAGAGAGTAAAACCAACTGAAGCTGATACAAAGTGTTGGGCTCACCAGACTGTTCTGGTAGTTCTAGTTCTGGTGGGTCAGTGGAGCTCAGGAATAACTTCCTTCACTCACTTCACAGAGACGGATCGTCAGACAGTGAGTGCAGCCAATAATCGATAACTGATGCTAATTGATGAATGTGATCAGATACTGACTGTCCTCCTCGGTTCGCTGTTCCACGGCCAGCGTCCGGACCTTCACCTTCTCTGGCTGGGTCAGGGGGCGCCTGGGTGTCATCAGGCTGACAGCGGCGGTGCTTAGGAACCGGTTGGCCCGACCCAGAGTGGGAGAACTCAGCCAGCTGGGTCTCGCCAGAGCTCCGCCCATCGCCGCTGCGCCAAACGGCCTCTGTCATCAGAAAGCAGATGATCAACACACCTGAGCCTGAACATCTGCAGGTTCTGGGGTTCTGAGGGACGCTGTTCACCCTCAGAACCCCAGAACCTGCAGAAAGTTAGTCATCTATATAAAACAAACATCAGCTACACCTCATACAGACACTCAGGTTCTCTGTACAGCAACAGGAAGTGAGACAAGTGCTCCAGGTGAGCTCCTCCTATCTCATGCTGTCTTCATGGGTACATCCAGTCTGGAGCACCTGTCACCATCTCACTGCAGTCAGACTGAACCACTGCAGTTATAATGAAGTTTTCCGGAGACTCTGCATCAGTCTGAATCAGACCAAACATCATCACAGAGGATCCATCAGCACGACGTCACCTTTGACACAGAGAGACGGACAGGTGCTCTTCACTGATTACTGTTCATTAATCGATTATCGACACACCTGTAGCAGCCAGTGTTTCCTCTGAGAGACTGAGAGGAAAATCCAACCTACTGGATCAATCAGGCCTCCAGACTAACTTTTTTGGGTTAGGAGCATCAGCAAAATTCTTGGCCATACCAATAATACTCCTGTTAATCAATGTCAGCAACCTGGAATAAAGTATTTAAATAGATCTTAAAAGAAAAAGGATACATTGATAGGTGCAAAACAACTGGCAATGTGTGGTATATAATTTTAGTTGATTCTTGGAGAAGAAAGACGAATCACACCATTTGTTGCACCCAGTGAGGTGCGGTGAGGTTCATGGCTGCTGAGGCCCTGACTTCATCACAATCTGATCTACAAATATCTGCACTCTACACAGCAGCATATTTGCCATTTGATTGGCAGCAGTTTATGGGTTATGTTTCATATCTGCATTCTATATATACAAATACAAACTGCAGCCCACAAAACACATGTTTCTTCTACTTCTTCTTCTTCTTCTTTTTTGTTTTAAGTTATTGTGGTCTGACATTGGCCTTTAAATGAAGTCCATGCTCCTCCTTCTGGACAGAAATATCCATTACTTTTTTGTAAAAGTCTCTTGAGCTTCCTTCACTGCACTTGACTTGGTAACTGTATACTGTACCTAGTCTAGCTCGCTGTCACTGGAAACATGTTGGTTCCAGGTTTTGATGTTCATGTAAAATAAATCATGAAGGAGGTATTCCTCTTATCTCTGGTCTCTTGTTCTGAGTCCTGCTGACAGAAGACGTCTCTGAGTTCTCTCTCCTCCTTTATGATGTTCTGGTTCCACAGAGCTGCAGGACTTTATGCTGAAACATGAACCCCAGTGAAGGACCATCACAGATCAGTGTTGAACAAAGACTGACCTGAGCAGCTCCGCTCTCCTCATCCTCGTCCAGGTCGTCCATAGACGTGGCCTGAATCTCTGCAGGATCGATGATGATGTTGGCTTTTCCAGCCAAATCATCTAAAAACAAACATCCAACCATCAGCAGGTTTCAGCTCTGAGATGAACGAATCACATCAAGTTAATGTGTTCACTGCAGAAACCTCTAAACACTACGTATGAATACTCGTTACCGAAGATCTGTGACAACCTCAAACTACAACTGTCATGGATCACTTCCTGTAGCTCAGCTTCAAACTACTGTCTAGATTCCACGTCTCTGACTAGTTTTTAGGAATCTAACAAATCTAAGTTTTTGACTAGCCTGCGTGTCTGTCTAGTCTGTGCATGTCTAGTCTCTGCATCGGTCTAGTCTTTATGTATCTGACTAGTCTCAGCATGTCCGACTAGTCTTTATGTATCTGACTAGTCTTTAAGTCTTTGACTAGCCTGTGTGTCTGCCTAGTCTGTGCATGTCTGTCTAGTCTTTATGCATCTGTCTAGTCTCTGTGTGTCTGACTAGTCTTTATGTGTCTGACTAGTCTCTGTGTGTCTGACTAGTCTTTATGTGTCTGACTAGTCTCTGTGTGTCTGACTAGTCTTTATGTGTCTGACTAGTCTCTGTGTGTCTGACTAGTCTTTATGTATCCGACTAGTCTCTAAATCTATGACTAGCCTGCGTGTCCGTCTACTCTCTGCGTGTCTGTCTAGTCTGTGCGTGTCTCTGCCGCCAGCTCTGTAAAGCTTGTGTTCAGAGGCTGCCAGTGGAGGTGATGTTGAGTTTTTACTGGGACTTGAGGGCGAACAAACAGGAAACTGGACGTTTACTGGTTAAACTGGGACGAACCACGGCAGAACAAACTGGCCATTATGTTGGAGGCTGCTGATGTGAGTACACTCCTCTGATTAACACAAAGCGAGTCCTCCCTCTAGTGGTGGAACTGGAGTAAAACTAGTTTAACTACATTCTGTAAGTCAGACTGGTTGTTTACTGTAGAAACCAGTAAAACTAGTGAATCTCTGACGGTGTCTCCAGACTGCTGCTGGAGTCTGACTTGTTCTGGAACATCTCACACCAACCTTTGAGGGTCTTCTTCAGATGGGACAGCAGCCCCCCGAGTCTCTGCAGATCAAAGTAGTCCACCTTCCCATTGTAGAAGAGCTGGGGGGGGACGTAGGCGTCTGCAGGGAGTCAGTACAGATGAGTCAATACAGACGAGTCAATACGGACAAGTCAATACGGACGAGTCAATACGGACAAGTCAATACGGACAAGTCAATACGGACAAGTCAATACAGACAAATCAATATAGACAAATCAATACGGACAAGTCAATACAGACGAGTCAATATGGGCTAGTCAATACAGACTAGTCAATACGGTCAAGTGAATACAGACAAGTCAATAACGACGAGTCAATACAGATAAGTCAATACGGACAAGTCCATACAGACAAATCAATACAGACGAGTCAATACAGACGAGTCAATACAGACGAGTCAATACAGACAAGTCAATACGGAGAAGTCAATACGGACAAGTCAATACGGACGAGTCAATACGAGCAAGTCAATACAGAAGAGTCAACATGGACAAGTGAATACAGNAGAAGTCAATACGGACAAGTCAATACGGACGAGTCAATACGAGCAAGTCAATACAGAAGAGTCAACATGGACAAGTGAATACAGACGAGTCAATATGGATGAGTCAATACGGACAAGTGAGAACAGATGAGTCAATACAGACGAGTCAATACGGACAAGTCAATACGGACGAGTCAATACGGACAAGTGAATACAGACGAGTCAATACCAATGACTCAGCACAGACGAGTCAGTACAGACAAGACAATATGGACGAGTTAATACCATTGAGTTAATACAGACGATTCAATACGGACAAGTCAATACAGAAAGTCAATAACAACTAGTCAATACGTACAAGTCAATACCAATGAGTTAATACAAACAAGTGAATACAGAAAGGTCAGTACAGACGAGTCAATACGGACAAGTCAATACAGGCAAGTCAATACGGACGAGTCAATACGGACGAGTTGATAAACATGAGTCAATGTGTGTAGCTCTGGTGTGTGTCAGTTTATAGCTCCGGTGTGTGTCAGTGTGTAGCTCCGGTGTGTGTCAGTGAGTAGCTCCGGTGTGTGTGTCTGTTTGCGTTACCGTCGCTGCTGAAGCCGGCAGCCGTCTTGCGGCTGCCTTCGTCCCAGCAGGCTCTGACGGCGGTGATGAGGCGATGGAGGAAACACACCATGTATTCTGGAGGACACAAAGCTGTGGGGTGCTGCACAGACACACAAACACACAAACTGTCACTGTACACACATGTAGAGGCGACTTGTACACACGGACAGACACGTAAACATCTGTTCATGTCACACGAAACTGTTGCTCAGAGAATCACAGGAGTCATCGACCGTCAGAACCAAAACGTGCCGACGTGCAGAAAAACTACCTGAACTTTAAAGAGTCTCCGAGTCAGAAGCCATGACGTCAGTCATCTGATTGGTCACTGAGTGAGATGTAAACGACTCACTTCATCCCAGCAGACAAACAGGATAGTGTTAAGGATGGTTTAACCCACCTGGTAAAGGACTAGTTAGTGTCTGATTAAGGATGGTTTAACCCACCTGGTAAAGGACTAGTTAGTGTCTGGTTAAGGATGGTTTAACCCA